CAACAGCCAAGACATGGAAGCAACCTAGATTTCCAGCGACAGAGGAATGGATAAAGGTGTGGTGCATACATACAATGGACTATTACTCAACCATAACAAAGAATGAAATAATGCCATTTGCAGCCATGTGGATGGACTTAGAGATTATCATACGAAGTAAAGTAAGTCAGACAGAGAAAGGCAAATATCATATGATATCACTTATACGTGGAACCTAAAAAAATGATGCAAATGAACTTAAAAAACAGAAATAAGACTCACAGACTTAGGAAACAAATTTATGGTTATTACCAAAGGGGAAAGTTGGGAGGGAGGGGTAAATTAGGAATTTGGGATTAACATATACACACTACTATATATAAAATAGTTAATCTGTATAATACTGTATAGCCCAGGGAACTCTGCTCAGTACTATGTAATAACCTATGTGAGAAAAGAATCTGAAAAAGAATAGATATATGTATATGTATAACTGAATCACTTTGCTGTACATGTGAAACTAACACAGCATTGTGAATCAACTATACTCCAATGTAAAATAAAAATCTAAAAAAATTTTTAAAAATGTCTTTAAGGAGAAAAAAAATAAGACTGTTAGATAGTAAGAGAGGGAACCTTTGTAGGGTAAATCGGACAAGGGAGGGCCTGAAGGCAGAGAATGGGCCAGCCTCCTTAAAAGAGTTTTCCTACATAAGACATTGCAAACTTCAAAGGCTGGGTAGTTAGAAAGAACCTAGTACACTTAACAGAAAGGAAGCCAAGAGGAAGACATGGGGGAACTGTAGGGTGCCAGGCCAAGTAGTAAAGGGCCAGACCACACAAGACTTTGTGGTAAGAGATTTGGACTTGAATATTCAGGAAGCAGAAAGCCATTGAAGGTTTCTTAAGTAGAGAGAACTCTGGAAAGTGGAGAAAGAATGGTAAAGAGTAATAGAATGTGAACACTGAAAGCAAGAATTGAGTATATACTGGCCCACGTACAAGACAATAATTGCAACTGATAGACATGGACATATTTAAGAGAGGTTTTGGGAGTAAAACCTATAGAACTTGTTGATGGATTGGAAATGGAGTTGGGGCTTTGTGATGACTGAATAAAGGATGGCTCCTAAATTTCTGAATTGAGCAGTTAGGTGGCTTATTCCTGAGAGAAGAGGATTTAGGGCAGCACTCTTGATTCATTGACATACCCAAGCACCTGCCTGGCACACAGTAGGCTCTTGGTCTGTTCAGTGAATAAGTGAACTTGAGAAACCCCTGATATTTCAAGGTTGGTGGAGGAGTGGCTGTGGGGTGGTAGTAAAGTCCAGGAACGTGGTATTGTGGAAGCCAAGAGTGAATGTTTCAAGAAGTGGCCAGTGTGTTAAAGCCGCTAGTGGACTAACTAGTCTGGAAGACAAAAATAATACAGTAGCTCTCTGTTTTTTCCTGAATCATTTTTTAGTCAGCTTTTCTTCAGGGGTATGTTTTATATTTCATAGTCCTGAAGTCCAAAATTATCTGAAAGGTGAAAAGAAATTTTTGTAACTCATTTGGAATCAAAAGCTTAACCTGAATTAATGTTTATCATCTTTATTCCTCTTATTCTGAATATTCGTACATTTTTGCTGCAGAAATATTAATGTTTGATTACAGAAGGCTGCCCAGTCTCCAGGTTATCACATAATATCTGGCAGATTTATCATTTTACATTTATAAAATCTGAAAAAGTCTGAAATGTATCTAGTCTCAAGGACTTTAGAGGACTTTAGATAAAAGAGATTGTAGACCTTAGTAGCCACTTCTCTTCTGATAGCTTCTTGAAGAGTGAGCAGCTTTGAAAATTTTGCAGATAACTAAATCTTTTTGGTAAGTACTTCACATTGACAAAGTTTGTTGTATTCAAGGAGCCACTTAGAGCTAATTTTCCTGGATAGTTATTTCATTGGTAAAGCATTTTATTTTAAACTATTTTGATGAAAATCAGGGTAACATTTTAAATGCCCAAATTACATTACTGACCATTTAAATCAGATGAATGAAATCCATAGGTTTTTAAAACTAAGAAAAGCCATATTTTATCTTTATGAAAAAGTGGATGGCTGCAGAGCACCCACGTAGAGAATTTTGTGATAGGGGATTAAGCAGGAAAAAAGTTGGGGATGGTTCTTTTAGACCCCCCTTACATTTTGGAAGAATTCTTCATAAGCCAAATAGCAGTTATCTGTAGCTTGGCTGCCCTTGTGGACATGTGTCATTTAAGTAGTGCGCATATTCTTCTTTTTTTAAAAAAAAATAATTTTTGTCTGCATTGGGTCTTTGTTGCTGCACACGGGCTTTCTCTAGTTGCAGAGATGGGGGTACTCTTCCTTGCAGTGTGCACGCGGGCTTCTCATTGCGGTGGCTTCTCTTGTTAAAGAGCATAGGCTCTAAGTGCACGGGCTTCAATAGTTGTGGCACGCAGTCTTGGTAGTTGGGGCATGCAGGCTTAGTAGTTGTGGCGCATGGGCTTGGTTGTTGCGCGGCATATGGGATCTTCCCGGACCAGGGATCAAACCCGTGTGCCCTGCATTGGCAGGCGGATTCTTAACCACTGTGCCACCAGGGAAGCCCAACAAAGATCTTAAGTCTTTATTAAAATGTTTATATTCTGTATTATGTCCTTTTCTTGTCAGGCTTCCCCCTACCATTTCTTTCTAGGTTCTATAAGTGTCGTTGCTTTCCCAGTAGCTACTACTTAAGAAGATTGGCAGGGTTGCCTTGCCTGAGTTTGAATCTAGCTCCTCTATTGCTAGCTATTGTGACTTTGACAATATCACCTGACTTGTCTGCATCTCATCCATCTTCACTATTATAAAATAGGAAAGTAGTAATAATACCTACATCATAGGATTGTTGAGAAGATTAACAGATAATACACATGAAGTGCTTAGAATAGTGCCTTCTAGTAAGCTGTCAATAAATGTTAATTATTGCTAACATCTTTTTTTATCAAGCACTCTTGCTGAGAAATTGCAACTGTACTTTCCCTTCTATAGATTATTGTGGTCTTTCCCATTATTAGATTAGTGATTACTTTTCACTGGATTCTCAGTATGTACATAACTAGAGTATTTGATCTTAAGATACGGTAGATATTAGAGACATTTCATCTTGATAATTCTTACACAGGGGCAGATGGAAGTTATGTGAAGATTAGTTTCTTTATTCTTACTCTCGTTATCTCCTTTGGTAGTGATGATAACTTAGAAATACCTTCCTTGCATTAACCTTAGCTCAATGATGCTTCGTGTCTCTAGTGGGCTTTCTACATCTAAGAATTCGTTGAGACCAGGCTGCTTTCAAGGAACTTTATGTGTACTACCACGATGTAGAGCGGAGCTTTATAGCTTGGGAGGTAGTTTGTTTCCTGCATTCATAGACTGAATTGTGATAAATGCAGAGGAGTGTCCCCATAGCTCTGCTTTGCTATTTGTCTGTATTGTCTTAGCTTTACTGTTGGTACAGATTAAGAAAGGTTACTTTCCTTTTAAATGACCATGTGTATATATGAATCGTTTTCAGAAGAGAGCTTGTGTTGAAAATGAAGAGTTAAGTAAATTAGAGGTGCGGCACCAACAAAATCAATTAGTAGTAGTATTAGAAACGGGTATAAAAGTGAATGTTCATCCTGGACTGTTATCAAAAATATGGAAGAGAGAAGCAAAAGGTTTTGAATTCTTAGTTTTCATTAAACAAACAAAAAGTGTGTATTTAGGCAGGATTTTGAAAGATTTTTTTGATCTAGAAGGGGAGTAAATGGCATTTTTTATCCCTAGTTTTTATTATATGAACCCATGTTTAAATGATTAACTTCAAACCACTAAAATCAGCTTGGCTATCGTAACAAAATTTTAGAATTGATTATTTAAAAACTAGAATTAGTACCGAAGGTAATTTCTAATAAAGGCTGTTGTAAAAATTGCCCATTACATTAGAAAAATGGTATATATTTAAGTGGCATCCTTAACACTTTTTATTATAGAAACACTGGATCTTTACCTTAAAGTATTAATTTTGTTGAAGTTTGGTAGACAAAAATCTGGGATTTTGGTGTTTTTATTTTGTTTATTTATTTTTTTGCGGTACGCGGGCCTCTCCCGTTTGCAGAGCACAGGCTCCGGACGCACAGGCTCAGCAGCCATGGCTCACGGGCCCAGCCGCTCCGCGGCATGTGGGATCTTCCCGGACCGGGGCATGAACCCGTGTCCCCTGCATCGGCAGGCGGACTCTCAACCACTGCGCCACCAGGGAAGCCCTGGTGTTATTTAAAGTAAATCTTACGTGTCAGTTTTAAGACCTTGGGATGTAATATATCATAAAAAGATAGGTTAGGAATTATAACTTTTTAATTGTGAAGAATGAGAAAAAATATCCTTATTACCTTGAAAAATGTAATAAGTATGTCATCATAGCAAAACTTTATTTAGGATCCAAATTTCAGTTACCAAAATTTTTATTGACTGTGATATGGATATATAAAACATTGTAGCCATGATAATACCAACTATAAAGGATTTTTGGCATGCCAGTGAATCATCCAAGAAGCAATATTTGCTATAAAATTTTTAAGTCATACTGGTGAAACTCAGAGAATGTACCTTAAGCATCTAAATTTGCCAGTAAATACTAAAAGCAGATATCACTCTAAGGAACAAAAACTTTTGTAAGTGAGTAAAGAGTATTTTATTTGGGCTAATCCTAAATAAGAAAGTTCAGTAAACTAAAAATCAGAAAAGCTTGCTTGCCTTAATCTTTGAACAAACATAATATATTGATGGAGTCATCAGTATGTAAAAGTGTGCATAGGATCTTGGTTTTCTAATACAGTTTGAAAGTTGAAAAATCTAAAATTATTATTTAAGATTTCAAATAAAGCTTATTTAGGTGATAAATGTCGTCTAATGGTGGACACATAAATTTTAATAGTTCATGAAGATTCTCTTGTCTGTATTGTTCATTTTGTCTCTTTCCTCTTTTAGGTGATATTGGAAATTATTATTATGGACAGGGTCATCCCATGAAACCTCATAGGATCCGCATGACCCATAACTTGCTGCTAAATTATGGCTTGTATAGAAAAATGGAAATATATGTGAGTATACCTTTCGGTAAATATTCACTGTTTGTTTGTTTAAACCACTACTTTGAAACTTTGTTTTCAAAGTTGGAGGGCATTTAGCAGATGAAAAGGTGTGGAAGAAAACAGAAACTCCTCTTTTTGTTTTATTCTTCAGAGAAAACTTGAGAGTGTGGGAGCTGTGGCCTCTTTTTTTTCCCTTATTCCTTCAACCATTTTAAAAAACAGTTTCCCTTCCCCAGGTTTTCACATAACTGGAGACCAACTCAATTTAGCATACTAAATATTTTTGTTATGATAATTATTGACCTGTCTGCTGCTGAAGAGTTGACCTGGGACTGTTAAAAAAGAATTATGCAGAAAATTAATCCTACCAATATTTGTTGGCGTATAGGAACACTGTATTAGTGAGCAAGCAAAGTGTCTATTTTGTAGAAGATGTGGGAGTATAGATAAACAGATATAAGATGCAACAATTCTTATCCACTTGGGGAGAAGAGAAAGACTTGAAGCAGTTAACAATGTTGGGTAATATATGTGAGCTTCTTTGTTTCAGATTATAGACATTTAGAGAAGAGGAGTTGGATAAGACTTTCAGTCAGGAAGCCTTGTGGCAGAAGTGTGTCATAAATGAAACGATCCTAGGAACAAGGATGATTTGGATAGTCAGAGGAAAAGGAAGAGAGATCATGAACTAATAGAGAATGAATCTCATTCTACCTGAATGAGTCTCACTCATCCTTCCTGAAGCTTTTTGGTCATTGATGAAATTACTGGATATAGAGCAGGAGGTTTGTGATAGAAAATAAGAGAAAGTAGAGTTTATGAACGTGGATTAGTCTTTAGAAGGGTTGACCTATTTCCACTAAAATAAAAGGAGTGATTAATTCATAGTTGGTGTTAGGCCTGCCTTAATCCTTTTTAAAGGAATGTGAATTATCTTTGGATTTGATTTCTGTTTTCTAAAACACACATGTATAAATTTGGATTTGCTTTGGAATTTATTTTGTTCTGGCAGACCTAGTTCTTTTGAGAGTATTGTTAGGGGAAATTGTATACTTTGTGTTTGGTAACCCTGATGTTACCAGTTGTAATTCCACAATTCTGACATTTATTTTTCTTCACAGAGGCCCCATAAAGCCACTGCTGAAGAAATGACAAAATACCACAGCGATGAGTACATCAAATTTCTGCGTTCAATAAGACCAGATAACATGTCCGAGTATAGTAAGCAGATGCAGAGATGTATGTTTCTATGTTAAAAGTATATATTAGTAATGATAAATATAAATGAGTACTTTTAGAAGCTTGTAATTAGTTATCCAAATCTAGGTATTTTCCTGATCTAAAATATTGTTTTAATTATTTACTGATTTAAAAAGTCCGTGTAACAATACTAAAGCTACTTTAAAAAAAAAACAACAAAAAACCTACTTGAAGCTTATTGGTCTGCCAAACTGCCAGAGGGCTATCTGGATCTTCTTTGCATTTTGTTTTGGTTCCTTGTTAACTTTGGGATAATGGATATTGGTGGGGAGACCTCACTCCCCTGCTTTAAAAAAAAAAAAAGATTGTACTTTGGCCTTAGCTTTGTGTGTATGCCTCTTGTCTTCTGTTTGGGTGCTTTAGTTAATCTGGACTATTCCAGAAAGTTCCAAAAAACAAAACTGAATTTGCCTCCTGTAGGCAGCTGTTTACATTGAATTTACAACTACATGCTTACGTTGTATCAGGTATTGTAAGTAATCTAGAGCTGATGTAAATACATGGGAGGATGTTCCATGGGTTGTATGCAAATAGTATATAAGGGATTTGAGCATCCCCAGATTTTGGTATCCTCAGGGTCTTGGAACCACTCCCTTGTGGATACCAAGGGACAGTTGTACATATAATTTGTACTTCCCTTTGTTGTATTAGTGGAGCTTTTGATTCTCTTCTACATAGTGTTCTCTTTTGTAGATAAAAGGTATTTTATTATTAGAGATTGGTTGGCTTGAAGATGGAATGCAAAATGTCATTCTAAAATGACTGGAACAGTGTCTTTTAAAGCTTGATACTGGAATTCATTCTCATTGATGTTTTTATTGATGGACTTCAGTAATGATTTTTTTAAAAAAAGAACAGTTTCAATAATACTAAATTAAGTGTAGTTGCTAGACATCTCATAAATTCATAGAACTTCATGTACATTTCTACCATAGATTATCTCATTTGATTCAATAAAATGCTGTAATATAAATAGATACTATTTGTCCCTGTTTTTTCAGTGGGGATTCAGGCTTCGATTAAGTCATGGGTAGCCCTAAGGTAAATGAATTAACAGGATTGGTTTAAAATTTACATAATACTGAATTGTATTAAGATTGTGATCATATCTGAATAGCAGGAAGCTAAAATTTATTCATTATAGTGTCAATAAATTAAGGATGTGCAAAGCTACATAAAATAATGACCCTTTTTTTGAAGAGGATATAAATTAAGGGATGAGGAGAAACTGAGAATGGGTTATATGCATCACGACATATTTAGTTCCTCTTTCATTCAGTACTAAGGAACTAAATATGTCGTGATGTGTGGTATATCTGCATGTGTTGTCTCCTTGTGCCTTAAATATTTCTTCTGTATCTTGGCTGTCATGAGCTTAGTTAATTCTTACCATCTTTCAAGATCAATGCTAACCATGGACATAGGGAACCAACTGTTACATCTTTTTGGTAGTCAGTAAAATACATTTCAAAGTTTTGGATGTTCTGTGTACTTAAGGAGTTTTAAAGAATGTAAATCATAAAGCAACTGAAGTTACTTATTTAAAGTTTTTAGAATTTTGTTTAATTTACTGTCGTATATTTAAGGAAAAATGCCTGGAAAATTTAAGCCCATGTTTTAATTAAATAACACCAAATACCTTTTATATTTTGCTAGCTATTGATTTCTTGTTAACAAAGCAGACATATTCCACAAATAATCATGTTAAGAATTGGTGGTGGTATTTCACATATAACACTGTAACTGCCTTGGATAAAATTGCAAACTTTAGATTACTGCTGTGCTGTGTATGTTTTATGATTGCATCAAACAAACATTATTTGTAGGAAATAGTTTTTGTAAGAAAAGACTTTCATTAATTCACAGAATGAATTGAAATTAATGAAATCCATCTTCCACAGTTAATGTTGGAGAGGATTGTCCAGTGTTTGATGGGCTCTTTGAGTTTTGTCAGCTTTCAACTGGTGGTTCAGTTGGTAAGTGTCCTGATTTGGTCAAATTTGAAAATTGATTTAAACTTGGTATGTATCTTTTGGGTTATTTGCTTAGAACAAGTTTTAATAGTGGCGGATTTTAATAACAAAAAGTGTGTTTAGCAGAGTACAGTTTTCTTTAGCTGGGCCCCCCTCCATGTTTTGGGATCTTAATGTCTCAAACTTTTTTTTTTTAATTTTCAGTTTTTTACTTCAGTTGCATTTTCACTTAGAGACTTCTAACTACCATTGTCACTACTCCTTTCCATCTATGTGCTCTTATTTAATCAGATCACAACTATAGGAAAATAGTTACCTAAGGAGAAACTGTTAGTGCCCTTGATAATGATCCTTTTATGGTTTTATACTCTTGCTTATTTGCTTATGCATGGCATACTCTTTCCACTAGGGCTTTTGTCTAGTTATACTAATTTTTTATCTTAAACATTTAAAAGTCTCCCCTGTCTTGTTTGTTAGCTGGGGCTGTGAAGTTAAACCGACAACAAACTGATATGGCTGTTAACTGGGCTGGAGGATTACATCATGCTAAGAAATCAGAAGCATCAGGATTCTGTTATGTTAATGATATTGTGCTTGCCATCCTTGAATTACTAAAGTAAGTTAATTTGTGTTGATGTTTTTCCTATGAAAAAGTGTTTTATTTAAAACAATAAAATTCTATGGCTTAAAAAAATAAAAGTGAACAGTGGGTTGAAAATAGTTAATGGTGAATCATCATCTGTGGATTCATTCCAAACCATTGTAAAAATACAGGAAATTTGCCCAGTCCTTGGATCATTAAGAATGAGAAGTACATATCAATGTTTGAGGCTCCATTAAGTACCTTTCTAAAAAATATTAGAAGTAGTTTGACAATTTAGATTGGAGATATAGTTTTAATTAATGAAAAATGACATGACCCGAGAAGTTTATGTTCTAACATTTTGTAAGTTTTAACTTTTGAAGGCAAAAATTTGAAACCTATGTTAAAGGAAATTTGTTTACCTATTGAATGAGACCAGCTAACTGCCTAGCTTCCACATAGAATGGGGTTTTGTGCTAATGGATATAATCATCTAAGTTGCTACAGGAGTTAAAGTTATTCTTGACTGCAGTTTGAGAGCAATATCTATAGCGGTATTTGTGATTTTGGAGATTTACAAAGTTAGATTTTTTACCCTCATTAGTTATAACACATCTTAGCAGATTCTACTTCAGATTGTAACAAATTGGTGTTTTCTTAACTTTGAAAATGTTCTTGCCTGAAGTTGTTCCATGCATACTATTTATAAAGGCTAATTTTTCAGTTACTTAAAATTAGGTATTGACTCCTTCAATAAACAACTGATCTCTGTCAATTGACTAATTGAGAGCCAAGCAAAACCCCTTGAAATCATTTGCCTTGTTTTTTAATTCACTGTTGATGTTGGTTGCTGTGTCTTCATCTCTGAGCAGCAGTTCTTACCTGCATGCTAACAGTCTTAACAGGTTTAATGTAGTTTCTCTGGACACACTTCTTCAACTAGTGCAAACTTGATTTAATTAATTGACTATTGGAAACAGCTTATGAGCCACTCAGACATTTAACTTTGTTCACACTTTTTTTTTTCTTTTTTTAAGAAAGTCTATGATGAGACATTCTGGTTTTTATTTTCCAAGTTTCTGAATGTTGCTTTCCTGCGAGTTGAGGATATTCTTGTGAGTGCTTAGTCGGTAATGTCAGCCTGTATTGTATTCTTTTAACATGGCTGTGGTATTATTGTAAAATAAACACAGTGCTCTGCCATTTAATTCCATAATAATCCTCACTTCATTGTGCCTTGAAAGGATGATATATGAAATTCACTTTTCTTTTTTCTTGTTTTGACATGGGTATGCACTGGTTATAAGATCCAGTATGGTGATACATGTGGCTTTTAAAATGCATTCGAATTTTACTGCGATTTGTAGTTCTCCAAGCAGTACTGTGAAGTGTTGAGAATACCACTTGTGGTTTCTGTCACAAGCATTCGGTTGAAATAAAAAAGAAGCCATAGACAATACGTGAACAAGCGAGCATGGCCATGTTTCAGTAACACTTTACTTATGGACGTTGAAATTTGAATTTCATTTAATTGTCACATATCACAAAATTATTATTTTGATTGTGTTTTTCAGCCATTTAAAAATGTTAAAAACTATGCTTATCTCAAAGGCTATACAAAAAGAGGCCATTGTCCGAATTTGGCCTATGGACCATAGATTGGCAAACCCTATTTTATAATACTAAAGATACGCTAGAGAGATGTTTTAAAGTAACAATCTTAAGTAAGGTATAATCTTCAGTTATTAATGTACGGAAACATATACTATGATTTTAAAGCAGAATAAGGCAGATTTCACAGAGCAAACATTTTCTCACCTAGATTGGGTGTAAAGGGAAGATTTAAAGGTCTGAGGCTCAAACTGTAACTTCAGGATGGTCTCTTTGAATGGTGTCTTAGGCTGGAAGCAAAGAAAAGAAAGGGGATTAAACATTCTGGAATGCAGGAGCTCAAAAATAGGTTTCCTGAATCCATGGTGGTTTTTTCCGTCTTAAAACCTTTTTGAAAACTTACTTAAGGTTTTGTTTTCAGGTATCATCAGAGAGTCTTATATATTGATATTGATATCCATCATGGTGATGGTGTTGAAGAAGCTTTTTATACAACAGATCGTGTAATGACTGTATCATTCCATAAATATGGGGAATACTTTCCTGGAACGGGAGACTTGAGGGTAAGATTGAATTCTGTCTGAATAAATATTATGAGATTAACCTAGGAGGTTAGTAATCTTACACCTGAACTAATGTTTTTCTGAGTCATTAATTTGAATCTTGTATGAAGGATTCGTCATTTTATATGCTATAACATTTGTTGGAATTCACTTTTGCTGACTACAAGCAAACATTCAACGAGAACTTAAAGGGCTTTCTTTTGCTGAGCTTTTTTCTTTGGTTGAATAAATATTTTTGAACATCCACAAAGCATGAAGCAGTTTTCTTGATGTTCAGTTTGAATCTTCAGAACCTACTTGATGGTAGCCTGTATTGCTGTTGAATATAAAGATTGGTGGAATAAAATAATTGAGTCTTTTTAAGGTTCTTGTACTGCCCTCCTTTTATGATTGGTCTTTATTTAATTGGTCTAATTTTAATCCCTTTTTTTCTTTAGGCTTCTGAAATTTGTAATGTATGTATATTCTCCCCCCCCCCCCCCCCCCCACCTTGGGGAGAGAAAGAATATCATAGCTTATCCTGCCTGCCTATTACATCAAGTGCATTTATTTCTATATTTCTGTTATCTTCTTTCATTTGGTGCTCTTGAAGTTGTTTTGGGTTTTTTTTGTTTTTGCTATACTAGAGGTTTGGTTTTTTGAACCAAACTACAAACATGTTGAAGTTTATTCTGAAATTTAAACAGCTGTTTTTAGTTTAGCTGTATTTTATGGGAGATTTCTTTTGGCATGGCATTCAACATTTGTTCTAAACTGTTTTGTTAAGGTTGTTTTTCAGATCTGTGGTATGTCTTTATAGTTTAACAACCAAAAGTTTAGAGTGACCTTAAAGTAGTCTTCAAATGTATGACTTAATTATTTGATCACAACGTTGTGCTCTTTCAGTAAGAATTCAGATGGTGAAACCTTACTTTATCTATAAGTGGGTAAGAGGTCATTTGTTTCATTTATTTCAGTTTAAATTATGTGGCTTTTAAAATAATTTATATTTGCAGTTCTTTCTTGCCATGTTAGCTCATTCAGTGACTTTCCCCACTTGGTCTTATCTTACAGACCAGTGGTTCCCAAAGATTGATCCTTAAACTAGCAGAATCACTATCACCTGAGAACTTAGAAGCACATATTCTCAGACTTTAGGTACTCTGGATGATTCTTTTCTGTACACTAAAGTTTGAGAACCACTGTTCTAAACCAGTAGTATTTGTTTGTGTATAACCATTGCACTCTGATAGAAATTAAGCAAAAGCTTTCCAGCTTTAAGCTTAAAGAAAGATAGTGTCTTTGCAATACAATTCTAATAATCTCAGAAATAGCAAATGGAAGCCTCTGTTTTAATTTCTGACAGTGTACTTGAAGTTGTTAGAAAATATTGGAGAATATGTGTGTTTTAAAAAGATTGAGAATGACTTTCAATATCTCTTTTCTTAGGATTTTATACTCCCTGTATAAAATGTCAAAATTTTTTCCTTTTGCATATTATAAAGGTGTCCCCCAAATTTAGGAAACTAAAATCAACTGCTTCATTATATGTGTAGTTGTATTTGGACTTTCGTGAAACTCAAGCATAACTTAATAAATATCACCTTTTCTACCTGACAATTCATTCTAAATCAGAAAAGAAGGCTACTCTAAGCTTAGATTGTTGTTAGAACTATGCTTGCATTTATTAGATCAGTAGTCTAGGTGGAAGAAAAAAACCAAAGGTGTGATGAAGTAGTAGTTGTGGAGTAAGAAATGGAAGGTATAAAACTCGGTCCAACAAAGGCCACAGCTCTGATTTACCAGCCTTTAGCTAGAGTGAGAAGTGCTGACCAACTTTCTGTATTGTAAAATCTTAGTGTCAACATGTATTCCAACTGTGTTTTTAGTGCAGAAGTCTAGGGGTTTACAGTTCTTTAAGTTTGTCCACATGTGTATAGTTTGTATTTAGTTATATAAAAATTTAGATTCTTTAAGAAAAATTGTAGGAGTGAGTGTGTAATTTCATGCTTTTTCATTGAAAGTTGGATCATAATAACTCTAATATTGAAGGGTAAGCTATGCTTTTTAAAAAAATGGGTTCAAGCTGAGATCATTCCATGAGAGATAAGGGAAGAACATGTATTTGTATTAGTAGTTCTAAAGATTCATATATATTGAGACATTATACAGGTGACCCTTGAAGAATGAGAGGGTCAGGGCGCTGACTTCTGTGCAGTTGAAAATCTGCATATGACTCTGACTCCCCAAAAGCATAAATACTAATAGCCTTCGTGATAATATAGTCAGTTAACATATTCTGTATATGTATATCTACATGTATTTTATGCATTCATAACATACCTTTTTCTTAATTTTTAAAAATATTTCTAAAAAAAATATTTCTAGACTGTAGTCATGTGCAAGTTTTTTCAGGTTGTTGCAAATCTCCAGAAAAATTTTCCAATACATTTATTGAAAAAAATCTGCATGTAAGTGGACCCACAATTCAAACCCTGTTGTTTAAGGGTCAACTGTAATTTAAAACATGTAAGAATCAGTTACCCCCAATCCTTTGATGTTGTAGTTAAAGCACTGTTTTGTAGAAATGTCTCAGCCATATCTTCTAGGAATATACAGTTGACCCTTGAACAACACAGGTTTGAACTTCTATGTAGATTTTTTTCAATAAATAATTACTGCAGTGCTAAACAACTCACAGTTGGTTGATCTGCAGATGCAGAATCATGGAGATGGAGGACAGACTGTAAAGTTAAATTCAGGTTTTCAACTATACGGGGGTTTGTACCCCTAACCCTGGTGTTGTTCAAAGGTCAACTGTTTATGTGTGTATATATCTGTATGAACATACACATACATAGATATACACATGCATAACATACACAAATAAATAAGTATATAGTACATGTATGTATATTTTAAGTGTGTGTGTGTGTGTGTGTGTACACAAATAAATAAGTATATAGTACATGTATGTATATTTTAAGTGTGTGTGTGTGTGTGTGTAGCTGGAACCCAGCTCTCAATTTCTCTCCTTTGCTTCTTTTGGGAGGTATTAATGTCTAGAGTGGTACTTATTCAACAAGTAGAAACAAAATTTATTTCAAGCCCAGTTAAACAACAGATTTCAATGCTTTAGTCTGCAACTGTTAAAACTTCAAGGAAGTCTTATAAGTAAACTCATAGCAGATTGTGAGCCACAAGAAGGATTCTACTTTAGAGACAATTGTCCTGCAGGGTTCTTTGGCTCAGAGTTTATATTTCCTACAGTTTTACCTATAAAGTTGTCTTGTGTATTTTGTTTATGACAAATTTTTTGGGTAATACTTAACTTCAGATTGCCTTTAACTGTGTTAAATTTCTTTTCTCCCCAAAATAATCATTACAGATTAAGTGGAATTGGTTCTTTTCAGCTTTATAAGCCATCCATAAATGTTGTAATATGTACTTTTTCTGTATTATTTCCCTTCTCAGCCTACTAGATGAATTAAGAATTGGGTTTTGTTACCTAGTCTTTTAATCTTTTAAACATATTTTAATAATTAAATATGTCAAACTTTTTATTATGATATATTCTCTGAGATCTATTTAACTATGTATTTTAGGATATTGGTGCAGGAAAAGGCAAATACTATGCTGTCAATTTTCCAATGAGAGATGGTATAGATGATGAATCATATGGGCAGATATTTAAGCCTGTAAGTATTATTATTTTCAGAAATGAAAAGGAATTCTAAAATGTTTTTTAGAGACATTAACATTTGTTACCTTGTACATAGATTATTTCAAAAGTGATGGAGATGTATCAACCTAGTGCTGTGGTGCTACAGTGTGGTGCAGACTCACTATCCGGTGATAGACTTGGTTGCTTCAATTTGACAGTCAAAGGTAAGCAATTTGAAGGGTGATATTCCAGGAAGAAAGTTTTTTTTCTTCCTAATAACCTCCCATAAAAGTTGTCATTTAATTTTTACCTGCTATTTTAACAGGGAGCCATGTGTTTTTTATGGGTTTTTGTCATATGTATCTTTTATTTTGTCAAATTTATGTATATATTCATACATGAGTAGTTTTGTAAGGCTTGTTGCAATACCAACCAAGGCAGCGATTTTCTTTTTTTTAAACTTTTATTTATTTGTTTAATTATTTATTCCAGTTTTATTGAGATGTTGGCATACAGCACCATGTGAGCATAAGATGTACAACATAATGATTTGACTTCAATATCATGATTTCAGCATCATGAAATGATTAACACAGCAGGTTTAGTGAACACTCATCTCCTATAGTACAACATTAAAGAAATACATTAAAATATGTATATTTTTCTTTGTGATGCAAACTCTTAGGATTTATTCTCTTTAACAGCTTTCATTTATAACATACAGCAGTGTTGATTATCTTTATCATGTTGTACATTTCATCCCTAATACTTACGTATCTTTTAACTGGAAGTTTGTGCCTTCTGACTGTCTTCATCTAATCTCCCCTCCCCTGACTTCTTGCCTCTGGTAATCACAAATCTGATCTCTTTTTCTATGAGTTTGTTTGTTGTTTGTTTTCGAAATATAACTGACCTACAACACTATGTTAGTTCCTGGTCCACAACATGTGGTTTGATATTTCTATACATTTCAAAATGATCGCCATGCTAAGTCTAGTTGTCATCTGTCATCATATAAAAATATTATATTACTATTGACTGTATTCCCCACTCTGTACATTTCATACCTGTGACTCATTTATTTTGTAACTCAGTGTTTGTACCTCTTAATCTCCCTCATATATTTCTCTCCTCCCCTCTGGCAACCATCTGTTGTTCTCTATATCTGTGACTGTTTCTGTTTAGTTATGTTTGTTCATTTGTTTTTTTGATTCCACATATTACACTTAGCATAATTTTCAACAATTTTTGTTGATTCTTTTGGTGCTTACCTTTCTTTAAATAACATGTAAGCTTTTCTTTCTTTTTTTTTTGACCGCACCATGCAGCATGTGGGATCTTAGTTCCCTGACCAGGGATTGAACCCAGGTCCTTGGCAGTGTGAGCGTAGAGTCCTAACCACTGGACCACAAGGGAATTCCCCAAGCTTTATTATTTTTAACTTTTAATTTTAACCTTGTATATTCACTTTCCATTGTGAAAGAAGAGGGAGCCACCACTTTGTCCCCAACACATGCGTACACCCTTCCAATATTTCCATTTTTACAATTTAAATCTGGTATTTAGACCAGAATTTTAGTCATGGTATTCAGTGTTAATGGCATCACCAGCAACATTAAAGCATGTTTCAGCTTATTCAATTTCCTTTTGCATAACTTGTTTTTCCCCATACAATTTTGTCATTTCCTTAGTTTTCTCCTTACTCATTAGTAAATTGCCAGTATTTATAAATAGTACATTATATTCAGATGGATCAAGTGTTCTGTCCGTTTTACCTCCATGAAGAACAGCCTTCTGACTTGTTCCTGTTTGGGTGAATTTCCTCTGTAGATCTGGTAGAACATCGAGCTGTTCTTTGCTTATAAGTGTTGAAATCAACATATGCTAGAGGTCCAGACCAAAGTAAAGATCACCGTTATGGAATGAACTGCTAGGGTATAAGAATAAATCTGAAATTTTATTTAATAAGTTCTTAAAATTTATTATGTATGGATTAGTTGTGATTTTTCACAGATATTGTACATGATTTTGGAGTTGTTTTCCTTGTGAACTTTTAGGTAACAAGTTCATGTTCTGCTTTGAATTCTCTCATAAAATGTGAAGAATTCTCAAGTAGAACTTTTTCCAGAACAACTCTTGGCCTAAATGGAATTTAATAACTAAATACAGGTATTAAAGGCTATTTTATTTGATGTTACGATAGCTCCTATGCCAGCCAGCATTACAATTATGACGTAATCAATCTATTCTGCTTATGTTAGGTTGAACAATTTGAAATAATTGCCCCTTTTCTTGCTAGGTCAAAAGTGGCCAAAAAGCAGCAGTTTCGTATTGTTGAAAATAATGTGCAGATAACCATCTGTTGCCTCAAAATGGATACAATCTTCTTAAAATCTACTTAATGTACTCTTAAGATGTGTATTAACTTGTCAGTTTTCTTAACTTTTTGAAAGTTATTAATGCCTTTGTACTTAAAAGCAATAGCTTTCATAATCACAAACTACAGCATTTTATTTTACTCTTACTATAAATCTATATTTCAACTAACTGATAGAATATCCGTTGTATAAAGCAGGTAAAGATATTTGCAATCCCAAATGTCAAACTTGATTCCAAGCTTTCTCCACTGCCAGCTTCAATTCAAACTGCTAAAGTCAGTTTACCTCTTGTCTGTCTCCTTTCTATCTTACTTTATATTGATACTGTTGTATGCTCTCCCATTCTTCATTTTTATAAATTTTAGCCTTTAAAATATTCCTTTATAATCATTTTTATCAGGTTTTGAGATGAAAGAAAAGTAAATGTCTTTGTTTAGCCAGCTATCTTTACTGTTATCTTTAAGTTAACTGTTTGTTTATTTCATCTTTAAGTTAACTGTTTGTTTATTTCATCTTTAAAAAATACCCAAACAGTTTTCCTTTATTATAAGAAGCCTGAATTTTCATAATTGCAGTAATAACAGTTGGGTTATGAATCATATAATATAACTGTTTTTATATACATATATGTTTTTATATATGTTATATGTTTATGTGTTTACACTTTTTATGTCCTTATACATAATTTCACATATTTATACATATTTATATACCCTTTTTTTTTAACATCTTTATTGGAGTATAATTGCTTTACAGTGGTTTGTCACTTTCTGCTTTATAACAAAGTGAATCAGTTATACATATGTCCGCATATCTCTTCCCTCTTGGCATCTCCCTTCCTCCCACCCTCCCTATCCCACCCCTCTAGGTGGTCACAAAGCATATAATGTAACTATTGAAGAGTACTTAATGAAAATGCTCACAGTATAGTTACGTGAAGAAGACATACCATTAAGCTTTTAAAAATTAAAAAGAATTGGAAAGGAATATTCAAAAAACTATCTTTGGATGAGAATTTTAGGTAGTTTTTTTCTTTGTACTATTTTGATTTTTCCAAAATATTATTCAACATACATCAATTTCTTCTATAATTGAAGGATTTTTTTCTTGCTTTAAACATTGACTTGTGTTCCTGAATGATGATGATAATATAAGAAGTTACTAGTAACTCGTAACTGATTTCTAAACTATGACATCCAAAGGAAATATTTTGTTTTCATGTTAGGTTTACTTTATACTGAAATTTCTACATATAGAAATTGGTTAAAGTTTTTTATAATAGTAATAGATATTAATTTTATAATTTTAGGTAAGTTAAGAAAAATGTCCATAATACCACTGCCTAACGATAACCTATATAGTTAAACCTGTATAGCCTTACATAATTTTTCTGTATATGTCTATGGGGGAAAGTGGTAACAAAAAGTCAGTTTAGATTAGATTATACAATGTTTCATTGCAACCTCACTTATTTTTTCCCCCAGGTAACCTCACAGGAATATAATATCTTCATATCACATTAATAAAATGTGTTATAGTCATATTTTAATATTAATATAGTTGTATATTTGATCAGGGACACTTGCTGACATAGCCAGTTATGTCTTATTGTGTTTTCTATATCATTGCATAAAAGGTGTTTTATTGATAAAAGTTTTAAACTAGAAATTTTCACATAATTAAAGCCATTTTGGTTGAGTAAAGTCTTGTTTATATTATCTTTTTAAAATTTATTTTTCCAACTGTTACAATGTGCAGATGTATTGTTACCCAAATTTTCTTTGTTTTAGGTCATGCTAAATGTGTAGAAGTTGTAAAAACTTTCAATTTACCATTACTGATGCTTGGGGGAGGTGGATACACAATCCGCAATGTTGCTCGATGTTGGACATATGAGACTGCTGTTGCCCTTGATTGTGAGATTCCCAATGGTAAGTGTTCTTATTTTGATGTCTTTATTGGATGAACTGTCAGTTCATAGAGAAAGATGTTTAGGTGATTACAGTTAATTCCAAAACCATGTAAATAGGAGAGCAGTCACTTAATGAATTCATTTTGCGTTCACTTTTAAACATCTTCTCTGGAAATATTTTACAACTTGAATCTGGATTTTGTGCATGGATTTGTGTGAAAATTGAGCTTTTAATATGTAACTTTATTTCATTGTTTTTGATAGAATTGCCATATAATGATTACTTTGAGTATTTTGGACCAGACTTCAAACTGCATATTAGTCCTTCAAACATGACAAACCAGAACACTCCAGAATATATGGAAAAGATAAAGTAAGACATCATTGAATTGATTTGATAAACATTTCATCTTGATACAGCATTAGGAGTTTTTAGAGGGCCAAATGCAGTAGGTCATTTTAGCTTTATACATAGGTATTTCCTTTGTCAAAAGTATTTGAAACCTTAAGGTTATTGATTAATTTTATAAAATAATGGAAAATGTATGGGATTCATAGCTCAAAAATATTTCTATTTTCTATTAGTTAAAATGGATTTTTCAATTGAAAGGGGCACTATAAATTTTATATTTTCTCACCTTACATGAAAGTGAAATTTATTTTCATTGAAACATTTTGATAAAGCTTTATCTAAGAACGGAGTGTTTAGAGAGACATTGTAGTACACAGACCTGGGTTTGTGTCCTCTCTTTACCACACACTAGCTCTGTGACTTTTGGCAAGTTAATTTGCCTTTGTGCTTATATTTCCTCATTCTTGAAATGGGGGATGTTAGTATCTATCCTGTAAATTTTGAGGATTAAACGAGTTAATAATATGTAAAGTATCAGTGCTCAGTAAATGTTACTATTTTAATTCATAGGTTAAGCTAGATAAAAGATGCAATTTTTTTGCATAATGTTTCCTCTTACATTTAAAAGGAACTTGAAAGAAAATATTTTTTTCTTATAACTGCGCATGTTGTAATTTAGACAGCGTTTATTTGAAAATTTACGCATGTTGCCACATGCACCTGGAGTCCAAATGCAAGCTATTCCAGAAGATGCAGTTCATGAAGACAGTGGAGATGAAGATGGAGAAGATCCAGACAAGAGAATTTCTAGTAAGATAGTCCCTTGATGTGTATTGTTACATTTTTCTGGTTTATTAAAAGAATACTATAAATTGAAGCTTTTGGTGGCCCAAGGACTTCACATGTTTTCATGAGCAGCAGTCCCCAACCTTTTTGGCAGCAGGGACTGGTTTCGTGGAAGACAGTTTTTCCACAGACCGGGGATGGGGATGGTTCAGGCGGTAATGAAGGCGATGGGGAGCAGCAGATGGAGCTTCCCTGATTCGCTCGCCCGCCGCCCACCCCCTGCTGTGCGGCCTGGTTCCTGACAGGCTGCAGACCGGTACTGGTCCATGGTCCGGGGTATTGGGGATCCCTGTTCATGAGCACACTATCATTACTTGTCTTTATTTTTACCATTTTTTAAATCTTACGTGGATTTAATTTCCTATGTCTCAAAGCTTGATTGGAGTATCAGCCATTTCAGTTTATTTGACTACATATATGATCAAAAGTTTCCACAAATTAACCACTTATGTAGAGTGAGTTGAATAACATTAAGCACCTTCTGTTTGATTCTGCAGTCTAATTCCACTTGATATGATTCGTAGGTTTATAGCATAATGGTATGCTATCACGGTATAGACATTCTAACATACTTGGTGTTAATGATATTTTTTATTTTCTCTACTTCCACTCAGCTCTGAAATAAAGGATTTTTATTTGAAGACATCATTCCCACTACCTATCAGGAAAACAGTATTTTTCCTCTAAAGTTGTTTGTTTTTTTAATGAGATCTGCAAATGTTTTTCTTGTTTCTTTGAATTATTTCTTCCTAAAGCTAAATTTTCAGTATTTAGCAAGCCATGCATTCAGTTCTAATCTTAAAATCTGTTATCCTTACTTTTAAATGTGGTGACTGGCTAGTTCTTTTGTAGAGGGGTGCACTTAACAATTGTAAAACCTGTGACTGCTTTTGTCAAAACTTTTATTAAAAATCTTTAATGTATCAGTTCGAGCATCAGACAAACGGATAGCTTGTGATGAAGAATTCTCAGATTCTGAGGACGAAGGAGAGGGAGGTCGTAGAAATGTGGCTGATCATAAGAAAGGAGCAAAGAAAGCTAGAATTGAAGAAGACAAGAAGGAAACGGAGGACAAAAAAACAGGTCAGATTTATTTTTTGATTAATGTTTTAATTGTAAGTTTTTGAAAGTGAGCTATACTGCAATTTTTATGAGATCCTGAAGTCAATGATGCAAGTATTGGAGGGGGTGAGTGTGCTAAGTAGGTGACTTTTTCTTCCCCCCATGTAAGTAAGCTCTTTTAATTAGAGCTCTCTGAATGCTATTAGTCACATTGGTTTTTATATTACAGGAAACTCTCTCTTCTTGACGACATAGGCTTAAAATAGTGAACATTGTACTATGATATAGATTGGGTAAGAGAGAGGACAAAGCGGTTATAGATCCATATGTAGCCTGTGAGCAGAGGTGAAATTCTAAGATAATTTGTAGCTACCTGTAACTTTATCTGATGGGAATAAAACACAGAAGAGTCACATTATCTATCCTTAGACCAGTTTCACTATTTTGAAAAGGCTCAGAGAATAGACTTTGTTCAGAAATTATATGAAGGAAACATAAAAGCTGCAGAGATGGGAAGGGATTTGGGAGCTGGGTTGGGAGGAGATAATATTTTCTGTTGTCTTAATTTTAAAAATGCTGTGTCAGTTTGTTGAGAAAATAGATGCTTTAGGGCATTGAATTTGCTACCAGAATGTGTTACTTTTATCTGAGTTTCCAGAGCACTTACACATACCTGGGTCATTTTATTTTATTTAACACATTGTATTATAGCACCTCATTAGGGACTTTATATATCTCTCTGCTAGATTGAGCTGCTCATGGCTAGAGAATGCAACGTGCTAAATATCTGTATTCTTGCGCTTGGTGCATTTCCTGATGGATACCTGATACCTATATGCAAGTAAAGGTGATGAGCACAGGTTTTAGTTGACCTGTTAATTTTGACCCTGTAGCATGTGGAAAACTGATTCAGAGATACTGGTCCAACATCCTTTTCCTATCATATTGAAGTTATGTGAGTAAGCTGCCTCTCATGTTCTTTTTTACTAGAGAGTTAGGAATCCGTAGCATGTCTGACACATCTAGTTCTGTTCTTGTTCGTGGATTGACTCCTCTATACGCTACTGTTCTCTGTCTACCATTTTATAATTTTAACTTCCCAATGTATTACAATGATGGCTCCAGTCTACTCTTGTGTACTGATTGACATCCAGAAATTCCAGCTGTGATGGAGGTAAGGACTTAGCTTTAGTTGTAGGATTTTTCTAGTATTTTTTTCTCTTACTGTTAATTTGTCTTGTCTGGTTTTTCTGTTTGTTTGTTTTCCATTTTGGTGTTTCTTCCTGTTTTTAAATCTTTATCTTTTCTGTGCTTTTTCTTCCAAATAGGAAAGTGGGTGCACTGTGGTGCTTATCTTTCATTGCTATTTAAGCTAGAAATGAGAGTACTTTTTGATCTGGCTTAATGGCCAGGTGGTGGATTAATCTCATAGTAGTTCCTAAATACTTTTGTTATTGATACGGTAATGAAATTTGGTAATGAAATTCTTCTTATAGGGTCTTGCATTTGTTAAAATCTTGCAGCCTACAAATAAAAGAAATATTACCATAGAAAACATTTTTAAAAATCTGCAGTTCAAAACCTGAAGTTAGGAACGTTTCTTTTCTCTGCCTCCCTCCCCCTATCCCATTTGGCACTTTGAATTATTAAATTTGCACATCCTAAATTAAGCCAGAAGCCTAAACAAATGTCATCGTAACCATATTGCCATGTGTTTGTATTATAATCAGTGCCTCACAACTTTGGTTCATTTGCTTATCTAAAGAAAAAATTTAGTACATTTGGGCTAATTTGTTTCAGTGATCTTGAATAGGTAGTATTGCTCCTCCTGTTTCATTAATTTTTTTTTTAATGGTAAAGTTTTGGTACTTATATAGTGAGGGTTAAAAACTAATGGTTAGGGCTTCCCTTGTGGCGCAGTGGTTGAGAGTCCGCCTGCCAATGCAGGGGACACAGGTTCGTGCCCCAGTTGGTCCGGGAAGATCCCACATGCCGCGGAGCGGCTGGGCCCGTGAGCCATGGCCGCTGAGCCTGCACGTCCGGAGCCTGTGCTCCGCAACGGGAGAGGCCACATACACAAATAAATAAGTATATAGTACATGTATGTATATTTTAAGTGTGTGTGTGTGTGTGTGTGTACACAAATAAATAAGTATATAGTACATGTATGTATATTTTAAGTGTGTGTGTGTGTGTGTGTAGCTGGAACCCAGCTCTCAATTTCTCTCCTTTGCTTCTTTTGGGAGGTATTAATGTCTAGAGTGGTACTTATTCAACAAGTAGAAACAAAATTTATTTCAAGCCCAGTTAAACAACAGATTTCAATGCTTTAGTCTGCAACTGTTAAAACTTCAAGGAAGTCTTATAAGTAAACTCATAGCAGATTGTGAGCCACAAGAAGGATTCTACTTTAGAGACAATTGTCCTGCAGGGTTCTTTGGCTCAGAGTTTATATTTCCTACAGTTTTACCTATAAAGTTGTCTTGTGTATTTTGTTTATGACAAATTTTTTGGGTAATACTTAACTTCAGATTGCCTTTAACTGTGTTAAATTTCTTTTCTCCCCAAAATAATCATTACAGATTAAGTGGAATTGGTTCTTTTCAGCTTTATAAGCCATCCATAAATGTTGTAATATGTACTTTTTCTGTATTATTTCCCTTCTCAGCCTACTAGATGAATTAAGAATTGGGTTTTGTTACCTAGTCTTTTAATCTTTTAAACATATTTTAATAATTAAATATGTCAAACTTTTTATTATGATATATTCTCTGAGATCTATTTAACTATGTATTTTAGGATATTGGTGCAGGAAAAGGCAAATACTATGCTGTCAATTTTCCAATGAGAGATGGTATAGATGATGAATCATATGGGCAGATATTTAAGCCTGTAAGTATTATTATTTTCAGAAATGAAAAGGAATTCTAAAATGTTTTTTAGAGACATTAACATTTGTTACCTTGTACATAGATTATTTCAAAAGTGATGGAGATGTATCAACCTAGTGCTGTGGTGCTACAGTGTGGTGCAGACTCACTATCCGGTGATAGACTTGGTTGCTTCAATTTGACAGTCAAAGGTAAGCAATTTGAAGGGTGATATTCCAGGAAGAAAGTTTTTTTTCTTCCTAATAACCTCCCATAAAAGTTGTCATTTAATTTTTACCTGCTATTTTAACAGGGAGCCATGTGTTTTTTATGGGTTTTTGTCATATGTATCTTTTATTTTGTCAAATTTATGTATATATTCATACATGAGTAGTTTTGTAAGGCTTGTTGCAATACCAACCAAGGCAGCGATTTTCTTTTTTTTAAACTTTTATTTATTTGTTTAATTATTTATTCCAGTTTTATTGAGATGTTGGCATACAGCACCATGTGAGCATAAGATGTACAACATAATGATTTGACTTCAATATCATGATTTCAGCATCATGAAATGATTAACACAGCAGGTTTAGTGAACACTCATCTCCTATAGTACAACATTAAAGAAATACATTAAAATATGTATATTTTTCTTTGTGATGCAAACTCTTAGGATTTATTCTCTTTAACAGCTTTCATTTATAACATACAGCAGTGTTGATTATCTTTATCATGTTGTACATTTCATCCCTAATACTTACGTATCTTTTAACTGGAAGTTTGTGCCTTCTGACTGTCTTCATCTAATCTCCCCTCCCCTGACTTCTTGCCTCTGGTAATCACAAATCTGATCTCTTTTTCTATGAGTTTGTTTGTTGTTTGTTTTCGAAATATAACTGACCTACAACACTATGTTAGTTCCTGGTCCACAACATGTGGTTTGATATTTCTATACATTTCAAAATGATCGCCATGCTAAGTCTAGTTGTCATCTGTCATCATATAAAAATATTATATTACTATTGACTGTATTCCCCACTCTGTACATTTCATACCTGTGACTCATTTATTTTGTAACTCAGTGTTTGTACCTCTTAATCTCCCTCATATATTTCTCTCCTCCCCTCTGGCAACCATCTGTTGTTCTCTATATCTGTGACTGTTTCTGTTTAGTTATGTTTGTTCATTTGTTTTTTTGATTCCACATATTACACTTAGCATAATTTTCAACAATTTTTGTTGATTCTTTTGGTGCTTACCTTTCTTTAAATAACATGTAAGCTTTTCTTTCTTTTTTTTTTGACCGCACCATGCAGCATGTGGGATCTTAGTTCCCTGACCAGGGATTGAACCCAGGTCCTTGGCAGTGTGAGCGTAGAGTCCTAACCACTGGACCACAAGGGAATTCCCCAAGCTTTATTATTTTTAACTTTTAATTTTAACCTTGTATATTCACTTTCCATTGTGAAAGAAGAGGGAGCCACCACTTTGTCCCCAACACATGCGTACACCCTTCCAATATTTCCATTTTTACAATTTAAATCTGGTATTTAGACCAGAATTTTAGTCATGGTATTCAGTGTTAATGGCATCACCAGCAACATTAAAGCATGTTTCAGCTTATTCAATTTCCTTTTGCATAACTTGTTTTTCCCCATACAATTTTGTCATTTCCTTAGTTTTCTCCTTACTCATTAGTAAATTGCCAGTATTTATAAATAGTACATTATATTCAGATGGATCAAGTGTTCTGTCCGTTTTACCTCCATGAAGAACAGCCTTCTGACTTGTTCCTGTTTGGGTGAATTTCCTCTGTAGATCTGGTAGAACATCGAGCTGTTCTTTGCTTATAAGTGTTGAAATCAACATATGCTAGAGGTCCAGACCAAAGTAAAGATCACCGTTATGGAATGAACTGCTAGGGTATAAGAATAAATCTGAAATTTTATTTAATAAGTTCTTAAAATTTATTATGTATGGATTAGTTGTGATTTTTCACAGATATTGTACATGATTTTGGAGTTGTTTTCCTTGTGAACTTTTAGGTAACAAGTTCATGTTCTGCTTTGAATTCTCTCATAAAATGTGAAGAATTCTCAAGTAGAACTTTTTCCAGAACAACTCTTGGCCTAAATGGAATTTAATAACTAAATACAGGTATTAAAGGCTATTTTATTTGATGTTACGATAGCTCCTATGCCAGCCAGCATTACAATTATGACGTAATCAATCTATTCTGCTTATGTTAGGTTGAACAATTTGAAATAATTGCCCCTTTTCTTGCTAGGTCAAAAGTGGCCAAAAAGCAGCAGTTTCGTATTGTTGAAAATAATGTGCAGATAACCATCTGTTGCCTCAAAATGGATACAATCTTCTTAAAATCTACTTAATGTACTCTTAAGATGTGTATTAACTTGTCAGTTTTCTTAACTTTTTGAAAGTTATTAATGCCTTTGTACTTAAAAGCAATAGCTTTCATAATCACAAACTACAGCATTTTATTTTACTCTTACTATAAATCTATATTTCAACTAACTGATAGAATATCCGTTGTATAAAGCAGGTAAAGATATTTGCAATCCCAAATGTCAAACTTGATTCCAAGCTTTCTCCACTGCCAGCTTCAATTCAAACTGCTAAAGTCAGTTTACCTCTTGTCTGTCTCCTTTCTATCTTACTTTATATTGATACTGTTGTATGCTCTCCCATTCTTCATTTTTATAAATTTTAGCCTTTAAAATATTCCTTTATAATCATTTTTATCAGGTTTTGAGATGAAAGAAAAGTAAATGTCTTTGTTTAGCCAGCTATCTTTACTGTTATCTTTAAGTTAACTGTTTATTTCATCTTTAAGTTAACTGTTTGTTTATTTCATCTTTAAAAAATACCCAAACAGTTTTCCTTTATTATAAGAAGCCTGAATTTTCATAATTGCAGTAATAACAGTTGGGTTATGAATCATATAATATAACTGTTTTTATATACATATATGTTTTTATATATGTTATATGTTTATGTGTTTACACTTTTTATGTCCTTATACATAATTTCACATATTTATACATATTTATATACCCTTTTTTTTTAACATCTTTATTGGAGTATAATTGCTTTACAGTGGTTTGTCACTTTCTGCTTTATAACAAAGTGAATCAGTTATACATATGTCCGCATATCTCTTCCCTCTTGGCATCTCCCTTCCTCCCACCCTCCCTATCCCACCCCTCTAGGTGGTCACAAAGCATATAATGTAACTATTGAAGAGTACTTAATGAAAATGCTCACAGTATAGTTACGTGAAGAAGACATACCATTAAGCTTTTAAAAATTAAAAAGAATTGGAAAGGAATATTCAAAAAACTATCTTTGGATGAGAATTTTAGGTAGTTTTTTTCTTTGTACTATTTTGATTTTTCCAAAATATTATTCAACATACATCAATTTCTTCTATAATTGAAGGATTTTTTTCTTGCTTTAAACATTGACTTGTGTTCCTGAATGATGATGATAATATAAGAAGTTACTAGTAACTCGTAACTGATTTCTAAACTATGACATCCAAAGGAAATATTTTGTTTTCATGTTAGGTTTACTTTATACTGAAATTTCTACATATAGAAATTGGTTAAAGTTTTTTATAATAGTAATAGATATTAATTTTATAATTTTAGGTAAGTTAAGAAAAATGTCCATAATACCACTGCCTAACGATAACCTATATAGTTAAACCTGTATAGCCTTACATAATTTTTCTGTATATGTCTATGGGGGAAAGTGGTAACAAAAAGTCAGTTTAGATTAGATTATACAATGTTTCATTGCAACCTCACTTATTTTTTCCCCCAGGTAACCTCACAGGAATATAATATCTTCATATCACATTAATAAAATGTGTTATAGTCATATTTTAATATTAATATAGTTGTATATTTGATCAGGGACACTTGCTGACATAGCCAGTTATGTCTTATTGTGTTTTCTATATCATTGCATAAAAGGTGTTTTATTGATAAAAGTTTTAAACTAGAAATTTTCACATAATTAAAGCCATTTTGGTTGAGTAAAGTCTTGTTTATATTATCTTTTTAAAATTTATTTTTCCAACTGTTACAATGTGCAGATGTATTGTTACCCAAATTTTCTTTGTTTTAGGTCATGCTAAATGTGTAGAAGTTGTAAAAACTTTCAATTTACCATTACTGATGCTTGGGGGAGGTGGATACACAATCCGCAATGTTGCTCGATGTTGGACATATGAGACTGCTGTTGCCCTTGATTGTGAGATTCCCAATGGTAAGTGTTCTTATTTTGATGTCTTTATTGGATGAACTGTCAGTTCATAGAGAAAGATGTTTAGGTGATTACAGTTAATTCCAAAACCATGTAAATAGGAGAGCAGTCACTTAATGAATTCATTTTGCGTTCACTTTTAAACATCTTCTCTGGAAATATTTTACAACTTGAATCTGGATTTTGTGCATGGATTTGTGTGAAAATTGAGCTTTTAATATGTAACTTTATTTCATTGTTTTTGATAGAATTGCCATATAATGATTACTTTGAGTATTTTGGACCAGACTTCAAACTGCATATTAGTCCTTCAAACATGACAAACCAGAACACTCCAGAATATATGGAAAAGATAAAGTAAGACATCATTGAATTGATTTGATAAACATTTCATCTTGATACAGCATTAGGAGTTTTTAGAGGGCCAAATGCAGTAGGTCATTTTAGCTTTATACATAGGTATTTCCTTTGTCAAAAGTATTTGAAACCTTAAGGTTATTGATTAATTTTATAAAATAATGGAAAATGTATGGGATTCATAGCTCAAAAATATTTCTATTTTCTATTAGTTAAAATGGATTTTTCAATTGAAAGGGGCACTATAAATTTTATATTTTCTCACCTTACATGAAAGTGAAATTTATTTTCATTGAAACATTTTGATAAAGCTTTATCTAAGAACGGAGTGTTTAGAGAGACATTGTAGTACACAGACCTGGGTTTGTGTCCTCTCTTTACCACACACTAGCTCTGTGACTTTTGGCAAGTTAATTTGCCTTTGTGCTTATATTTCCTCATTCTTGAAATGGGGGATGTTAGTATCTATCCTGTAAATTTTGAGGATTAAACGAGTTAATAATATGTAAAGTATCAGTGCTCAGTAAATGTTACTATTTTAATTCATAGGTTAAGCTAGATAAAAGATGCAATTTTTTTGCATAATGTTTCCTCTTACATTTAAAAGGAACTTGAAAGAAAATATTTTTTTCTTATAACTGCGCATGTTGTAATTTAGACAGCGTTTATTTGAAAATTTACGCATGTTGCCACATGCACCTGGAGTCCAAATGCAAGCTATTCCAGAAGATGCAGTTCATGAAGACAGTGGAGATGAAGATGGAGAAGATCCAGACAAGAGAATTTCTAGTAAGATAGTCCCTTGATGTGTATTGTTACATTTTTCTGGTTTATTAAAAGAATACTATAAATTGAAGCTTTTGGTGGCCCAAGGACTTCACATGTTTTCATGAGCAGCAGTCCCCAACCTTTTTGGCAGCAGGGACTGGTTTCGTGGAAGACAGTTTTTCCACAGACCGGGGATGGGGATGGTTCAGGCGGTAATGAAGGCGATGGGGAGCAGCAGATGGAGCTTCCCTGATTCGCTCGCCCGCCGCCCACCCCCTGCTGTGCGGCCTGGTTCCTGACAGGCTGCAGACCGGTACTGGTCCATGGTCCGGGGTATTGGGGATCCCTGTTCATGAGCACACTATCATTACTTGTCTTTATTTTTACCATTTTTTAAATCTTACGTGGATTTAATTTCCTATGTCTCAAAGCTTGATTGGAGTATCAGCCATTTCAGTTTATTTGACTACATATATGATCAAAAGTTTCCACAAATTAACCACTTATGTAGAGTGAGTTGAATAACATTAAGCACCTTCTGTTTGATTCTGCAGTCTAATTCCACTTGATATGATTCGTAGGTTTATAGCATAATGGTATGCTATCACGGTATAGACATTCTAACATACTTGGTGTTAATGATATTTTTTATTTTCTCTACTTCCACTCAGCTCTGAAATAAAGGATTTTTATTTGAAGACATCATTCCCACTACCTATCAGGAAAACAGTATTTTTCCTCTAAAGTTGTTTGTTTTTTTAATGAGATCTGCAAATGTTTTTCTTGTTTCTTTGAATTATTTCTTCCTAAAGCTAAATTTTCAGTATTTAGCAAGCCATGCATTCAGTTCTAATCTTAAAATCTGTTATCCTTACTTTTAAATGTGGTGACTGGCTAGTTCTTTTGTAGAGGGGTGCACTTAACAATTGTAAAACCTGTGACTGCTTTTGTCAAAACTTTTATTAAAAATCTTTAATGTATCAGTTCGAGCATCAGACAAACGGATAGCTTGTGATGAAGAATTCTCAGATTCTGAGGACGAAGGAGAGGGAGGTCGTAGAAATGTGGCTGATCATAAGAAAGGAGCAAAGAAAGCTAGAATTGAAGAAGACAAGAAGGAAACGGAGGACAAAAAAACAGGTCAGATTTATTTTTTGATTAATGTTTTAATTGTAAGTTTTTGAAAGTGAGCTATACTGCAATTTTTATGAGATCCTGAAGTCAATGATGCAAGTATTGGAGGGGGTGAGTGTGCTAAGTAGGTGACTTTTTCTTCCCCCCATGTAAGTAAGCTCTTTTAATTAGAGCTCTCTGAATGCTATTAGTCACATTGGTTTTTATATTACAGGAAACTCTCTCTTCTTGACGACATAGGCTTAAAATAGTGAACATTGTACTATGATATAGATTGGGTAAGAGAGAGGACAAAGCGGTTATAGATCCATATGTAGCCTGTGAGCAGAGGTGAAATTCTAAGATAATTTGTAGCTACCTGTAACTTTATCTGATGGGAATAAAACACAGAAGAGTCACATTATCTATCCTTAGACCAGTTTCACTATTTTGAAAAGGCTCAGAGAATAGACTTTGTTCAGAAATTATATGAAGGAAACATAAAAGCTGCAGAGATGGGAAGGGATTTGGGAGCTGGGTTGGGAGGAGATAATATTTTCTGTTGTCTTAATTTTAAAAATGCTGTGTCAGTTTGTTGAGAAAATAGATGCTTTAGGGCATTGAATTTGCTACCAGAATGTGTTACTTTTATCTGAGTTTCCAGAGCACTTACACATACCTGGGTCATTTTATTTTATTTAACACATTGTATTATAGCACCTCATTAGGGACTTTATATATCTCTCTGCTAGATTGAGCTGCTCATGGCTAGAGAATGCAACGTGCTAAATATCTGTATTCTTGCGCTTGGTGCATTTCCTGATGGATACCTGATACCTATATGCAAGTAAAGGTGATGAGCACAGGTTTTAGTTGACCTGTTAATTTTGACCCTGTAGCATGTGGAAAACTGATTCAGAGATACTGGTCCAACATCCTTTTCCTATCATATTGAAGTTATGTGAGTAAGCTGCCTCTCATGTTCTTTTTTACTAGAGAGTTAGGAATCCGTAGCATGTCTGACACATCTAGTTCTGTTCTTGTTCGTGGATTGACTCCTCTATACGCTACTGTTCTCTGTCTACCATTTTATAATTTTAACTTCCCAATGTATTACAATGATGGCTCCAGTCTACTCTTGTGTACTGATTGACATCCAGAAATTCCAGCTGTGATGGAGGTAAGGACTTAGCTTTAGTTGTAGGATTTTTCTAGTATTTTTTTCTCTTACTGTTAATTTGTCTTGTCTGGTTTTTCTGTTTGTTTGTTTTCCATTTTGGTGTTTCTTCCTGTTTTTAAATCTTTATCTTTTCTGTGCTTTTTCTTCCAAATAGGAAAGTGGGTGCACTGTGGTGCTTATCTTTCATTGCTATTTAAGCTAGAAATGAGAGTACTTTTTGATCTGGCTTAATGGCCAGGTGGTGGATTAATCTCATAGTAGTTCCTAAATACTTTTGTTATTGATACGGTAATGAAATTTGGTAATGAAATTCTTCTTATAGGGTCTTGCATTTGTTAAAATCTTGCAGCCTACAAATAAAAGAAATATTACCATAGAAAACATTTTTAAAAATCTGCAGTTCAAAACCTGAAGTTAGGAACGTTTCTTTTCTCTGCCTCCCTCCCCCATCCCATTTGGCACTTTGAATTATTAAATTTGCACATCCTAAATTAAGCCAGAAGCCTAAACAAATGTCATCGTAACCATATTGCCATGTGTTTGTATTATAATCAGTGCCTCACAACTTTGGTTCATTTGCTTATCTAAAGAAAAAATTTAGTACATTTGGGCTAATTTGTTTCAGTGATCTTGAATAGGTAGTATTGCTCCTCCTGTTTCATTAATTTTTTTTTTAATGGTAAAGTTTTGGTACTTATATAGTGAGGGTTAAAAACTAATGGTTAGGGCTTCCCTTGTGGCGCAGTGGTTGAGAGTCCGCCTGCCAATGCAGGGGACACAGGTTCGTGCCCCAGTTGGTCCGGGAAGATCCCACATGCCGCGGAGCGGCTGGGCCCGTGAGCCATGGCCGCTGAGCCTGCACGTCCGGAGCCTGTGCTCCGCAACGGGAGAGGCCACAACAGTGAGAGGCCTGCATACCGCAAAAAAACAAAAAAAAAAACAACTAATGGTTACATAAGTAATAGAATTTACCCTCTGTTTTGTCTGTGGCCTCATCTAGTTCTGTCCCCTTCTCACAGTACCCCAGCCACATTGGTCTTTCAGTTCTTCCTTCCAGCCTAATTCCTTCTTGCCTCAGAGTCCTTTTAAGTTTTCCCTCTGTTCAAGAGACTTCTCCCTGTTTCCCACCCAAAAACTATTCGTTCTTCAGAATGTCTCTCAAACATCACTTCTTCATCGTAGGCTTTCCTAATCTCCCACAGTGCTATGCTCACGTCTGTAGGCTGGACTTCTTCACAGCACATATCCTGGCTGTAGTGCTGTGATCCCATAGAAGAAAACTTCCCAAAGGCAGGACTACAGTGTTATACTGACACCTTGAACCTCTGTCATTTAGTACAGCACCTAACACAAAGCTTATTTAGTTACTGATTTCATGAATAGTAAGATTGTATATGGCAGTTTTTTATATTTTAAGTAAGATATATTTTAAAATAAAATGTATACACTTTATATTTCAAAGTAGGTGTTAATCTTTTCCCAATTTTTGTTTTTAGATGTTAAAGAAGAAGATAAGTCCAAGGACAATAGTGGTGAAAAAACAGATACCAAAGGGTAAACTATATTCTTTATCTAGTAATTTTCATATACTATAAAAATAATGAGCACATACTGGGGTTGCGGTGGGTGTACATGTGTTCTTTTGAGAAATACTGAACTGAACCTGGAATATCAGTAAGTTGTTGTGAGATGCTCTGAATTTTAGTCTGTAATGGTGCATAAGACAATATATGTATCTTAACTATTAGTTTATGTGTCATCTACTTTCTCATTTTTCATTTATGTAGCTTGCTTTTAAAGAATTACAAAGACTGGTAATAATCAGTATTATAGCTGAATATAGATCAGTTTATATTCTTGAACATAATTTATCTGAGCCTTGTTTTGCTATTAACTTTTTTTTTTAATTTATTTAATTTATTTATTTTTGGCTGCGTTGGGTCTTCATTGCTGCGCATGGGCTTTCTCTAGTTGCGGCGAGCGGGGGCTCTTCTTCGTTGCGGTGCGGGGGTTCTCATTGCGGTGGCTTGTCTTGTTGCGGAGCATGGGCTCTAGGCGCGCGGACTCAGTAGTTGTGGCTCGTGGGCTCTAGAGCACAGGCTCAGTAGTCGTGGTGCACAGGCTTAGTTGCTCTGTGGCATGTGGTATCTTCCAACACCAGGGCTCAAACCCGTGTCCCCTGCATTGGCAGGTGGATTCTTAACCACTGTGCCACCAGGGAAGCCCGCTGTTAACTTTTATATAGGCACTTGTGGTCTTTCATGGTGCTCTTATTTCTGTATACATGATTTTTTAGTGTTGTGAGACAGGTAAATTTAAGAAGCACTGGGCTAGCATAACATAATTTGTTTTTTAAACCGTACATAATTTTTTTAAAAACCATAGTTGAGGTTTTTATTGTTGGAAAGCATGTTAAAAGCTTGGCCACACATAATTTTGTGCTAGCCTTCATAGGATGACTTGGAATAGATTGTAGAACCACTAGAAAGATCAAGGCAGTCAGTACTCCAAAAACACTCAAGGCACTATCAGCTTAACGTGTTTCTTGGTACGAGCCAAGAATGAGGACTCAATGAAGACTGATCCATTGGTCGGTGCATTTAAGTGGTGATTGTGCTGTTTTTAATATTTCATGTTGCCTCTTTTAACAGAGCCAAATCAGAACAGCTCAGCAACCCTTGAATTTGAGAGTCTCATCACTTTCAGTGAGGAAATATTGGGAAGAAAAATGTTTTCTTTTTGAAGACTTCTGGCTTCATTTTATACTACTTTGGCATGGACTGTATTTATTTTCAAAATGGCTTTTTTCGGTTTTGTTTTTCTTGGCAAGTTTTATTGTGAGTTTTCTAATTATGAAGCAAAATTTCTTTTCTCCACCATGCTTTATGTGATAGTATTTAAAACTGATGTGTTATTATGTCAAAAAACTGCTCTATTAAAGAAGTAATTGGCCGTTCTGAGCTGATTTTTCCATCTTTTGTAATTATCTTTATTAAAAAATTGTACTTGGATTGTCTTTTGTCTGTTTATTACATCATGGAGTCTTTTTTCATAGGCTAATGACATGACTGTTTCTGTAGCAATAGAATACACTAGAGGTGGAAGATACTGATTTGCAACTTCAAAGACATCCATAAACTATTTCTTGAGGAAATTACTGTATTTACAGTAATTATTATTTCTTAATGTAATAGGAGTTCTTCAGTCTTGTCCTCTATAGGTTAACCAGTCAATGTTGGTGAAGATTGATATCTCATTATCATAATTTATCTCTGAAATTAATGATACAAGCTATGCAATTGAGATATAGGAATTATCTTTGAGCTGAACCAAAGATTCTCAAAAACTGGAAATGGAGATTCTGAGTTGAAAGAAGAAATCAATAATCAGAAAAGGAAACTATAGCTTCCATACTGAGCTACATGTGACTCTTTTGCCAACCCCCACAATAAACCAAGTAGACAAGAAATTGTATGGTTGTGTTTTACCAGAACTTTCCTGTGTTTATATTAAGGCTAAAATAAAACCTGCTGTTTAGACAAAACCTGGTTCTTGTACTGCATTTACATGGTATCCAGGTTCCACAATTTACACCCAGGTTTCCAAATCAAGGAAATCAACACTTAAAAGTCATTTATGGTTCAATTTATTGAGTGTCTACCCATTAAAGCTTTGAGTATGCATCTGAACATAAAGGGGAAAATGCCTGCTCCTATAGCTTACATTCTAGCGGTAGAAAGCAGACAAATGGGGTAATTTCTACTAAAATATGCAAAGGAGAAAGTAAAACATTTTAGAAACTTGCCAAAATCAGTGAAATCTCTCTTTTCACAAAGCCCAAATTGATTATTTTGAGATAAAAATTATAGAATGCTAGACAACAGGCCAGTCAAAAATGTTTCTTTAAAAGCCTGTGTTAAGAAATACTTCAGACATTCACAAAAGCACCTGGACTTTTGTAATGAGCAGCCATTCTCCCACCTGTATTTAACAGATGTTTCACTTTAGCCATATTTGGTTCAAGCGTTTTCTTTTTTCTTTAAATAAATTACACAGAAGTAGAAGCCCTCCTTACCACTTTGCCATTTAATTTCCCTCCCACTCTTCAGAAGTAACCATATCTCATCCATGTTTTCACTCTTGCTGCATATCTGTCAGCATATAAACCCTTATGACATTAGGAATTATGGAATTCAGTCTTTCATTAGTGAAATAGTGACATGCATTTAGTGTTTGAGAAACACAGATGGTATTGCATGTGTACACTTCTGTAATTTGCTTCTTTACATTTTAATTATCTAACCCTGTTTAACAAGTACAGCTCATTTTAACTGCTCTGTATTAATGTTCGATTACAAGGGTATACCAACAATTTGTTTCAATACTGAGGTGAGCCTGCTTGGTCACATTTAGGTTTTGTTTTCCTATTTACAAATAGAAGCATTTATATAAAACTGAAGCCTCAAGAGAACAGTATGAAACCAAGTTCAGCCAGGTGACTGGGTACAACATTAATACACAGAAACCAGCAGCTGTTAATATATCTGAACAACAACCAGAAGATCTGTTGGAAAAAGGAAGATACCATTTACAAGAGCAATAACAAAAATTTCTAGAAATAAAAGTGCAAAGAAGCTACTGTTTTGGTGTATAGTGAAAAAGGTTGTAATACAGGATGTATAAATACCCTAATACATTTGGAAATTAATATTGGATAAAAATATTTCAAGTTGATGAGGGAAGAGAGAGTATCCCTTAAGTGATATTGGGATAATGGGTAGTCAAATGGGAAAAAAGTTTTATGCCCTCCATCAGAAGAATCAGATTAGTTGGAAAGGGAAAATGAAACTAAGTACTAGAAACCATAAGGGACTTTTGAGAAAGTACTAGGCCTTTCTAAGTATGACACTGAACCCAAACTGTAAACGAAATGATATTTAAAAGATTCTGTAGGCTAGCAACTTCTAATTGAGAAAAATGACAATTGGGGTGGGCAGTGTGCAGAATTGCAACATTACAGTTCAAGAGGCTAATATCTAAAGGTTTTTTTTTAAGGCATGAAGGATGTGGAGAGTTAGCTGGGAAAAAATGCAAATAATTCTTAAGTATGAAAAGATTTTTAACCTTAATTTAGGAAATGCAAGTTAAAAGCTATGAAGATACTTTTAAATTTTTAACCTAAATTTTAAACCTATCACTTTATAAAGAACAGCTGTTGGCAAAAGTTTAAGGAAGTTGTGTTTTGCAGTAGGTTGTATAAGTCAGTATAACCTCTTGAGCTTAATTTGACATTCTATATAAAAATCAAATAATCTGATTTAAAATGCCATTTTGGAAAATTTAATATACTTTATGTGCAATATGACTTTCAGAAGTCTTCATTATGAAACATTGCTTAAAGTAATAAAAGATTAAAATGGCCTAAATATTCAATATAGGATGTGTTGAATGACACTTAAGAAAGAATACTATACAGCCATAACTAACAAGAATGAGAACTATGTACTGTATATATGGAAATACCTTCAAGACACATCATTAAGTGAAAAGAGGAAGACCTGGGACATGTGACATACCTTTTGTGTAAAATGAAAAAAATAGGCAAAATTACTTTATTATACAGATATCTAGGAAAGGTGATCATGAAACTGGTAGTATTGAAGCATTGGCTGCTTTCATGGGGATTTGAATGCTGGACAATGTGAGTATACAAATTTTTAAAAAAATTTTATTGGAGTATAGTTGATTTACAATGTGTTAGTTTCAGGTGTACAGCAAAGTGTTTCAGATATACATATATATCCTTTTCCAGATTCTTTTCCATTATAGGTTATTAGATAATACTGAATATAGTACCCTGTGCTGTATAGTAGGACCTTGTTTATCTATTTTATATATAGTAATGTGTATATGTTAATTCCAAACTCCTAATTCCCCACTATCCCCTTTGGTAACCATAAATTTATTGTCTCTGTGTTTCTGTTTTGTAAATAAGTTCATTTATATCTTTTTTTTTTTTAAGATTCCGCATGTAAGTATCATATGATATTTGTCTTTCTCAGTCTGACTTCACTTAGTATGATAATCTCTGGGTCCATCCATGCCACTGCAAACAGAATTATTTCATTCTTATGGTTGAGTAATATTCTATTGTATATATGTACCACATCTTCTTTATCCATTCATCTGTTGATGGATATTTAAGTTACTTCCATGTCTTTGCTATTGTAAATAGTGCTGCAGTGAACATTGGGGTGCATGTATCTTTTTGAATTAGAGTTTTCTCTGGATATATGCCCGGGGTGGGATTGCAGAATCATATGGTAACTATTTTTAATTTTTGAAGGAACCTCCTTACTGTTCTCCATAGTGGCTGTACCAATTTACATACCCACCAACAGTGTAGGAGTGTTCCCTTTTCTCTACACCCACTCCAGCATTTGTTATTTGTAGACTTTTAAGGATGGCCATTCTGATGGGTGTGAGGTCATATCTCATTGTAGTTTTGATTTGCATTCACTAATAATTAGTGACGTTGAGCATTTTTTCATGTCCCTGTTGGCTATCTCTATGTCTTTGGAGAAATGTCTATCTAGATTTTCTGCCCATTTTTTGATTGGGTTGTTTGGGTTTTTTTTTTTTGATACTGAGCTGTATCAGCTGTTTATATATTTCAGAAATTAATACCTTGTCAGTACTATAATTTGCAAATATTTTCTCCCAGTCCATAGGTTGTCTTTTTGTTTTGTTTATGGTTTCCTTTGCTGTGCAAAAGCTTTTAAGTTTATTTAGTCCCATTTGGTTTTGTTTCCATTATTCTAGAAGGCAGATTCAAAATGATACCGCTGCAATTTATGTCAAAGAGTGTTCTGCCTATGTTTTCCTCCAGAAGTTTTATAGTATCCGGTCTTACATTTAGGTCTTTAATCCATTTTGGGTTTATTTTTGTATATGGTGTTAGAGAATGTTGTAATTTCATTTTTTTACATGTAGCTGTCCAGTTTTCCCGCCATCACTTACTGAAGAGACTGTCTTTTCTCCATTGTATATTCTTATCTCCTTTGTCCTAGCTGAGCTTTCTATCCAGTTCCATTGGTCTATATGTCTGTTTTTGTGTCAGTACCATACTGTTTTGATTACTGTAGCTTTGTAGTATAGTCTGAAGTCAGGGAGCCTGACTCCTCTGGCTCCATTCTTCTTTCTCAACATTGTTTTGGCTATTTGGGGTCTTTAATGTTTCCATACAAAATTTAAAGTTATTTGTTCTAGTTCTGTGAAAAATGCCGATGGTAATTTGATAGAGATTGAACTGAATCTGTATATTGCCTTGGGTAGTATGGTCATTTTAACAATATTGATTCTTCCAATCCAAGAGCATGGTATATCTTTCCATCTGTTTGTGTCGTCTTCAGTTTCTTTCATCAGTGTCTTATAATTTTCAGAGTACAGGTCTTTTGCCTCCTTAGGTAGGTTTATTGCTAGGTATTTTATTCTTTTCGATGCAGTGGTAAATGGAATTATTTCCTTAACTTCTCCTTCTAATATTTCATTGTTAGTGTATAGAAATGCAACAGATTGCTGTATATTAATTTCCTGTCCAGCAACTTTACCAAATTCATTGGTGAACTCTAGTAGTTTTCTGGTAGCGTCTTTAGGATTTTCTATGTATAGTATCATGTCATCTGCAAACAGTGGCAGTTTTACTTTTCCAATTTGGACTCCTTTTCTTCTCTGATTGCTGTGGTTAGGACTTCCAAAACTATGTTGAGTAAAAGTGGTGAGAGTGGGCATCCTTGTCTTGTTCCTGATCTTAGAGGAAATGCTTTCAGCTTTTTCACCATTGAGTATGATGCTAGCTGTGGGTTTGTCATATATGGCCTTTATTATGTTGAGGTATGTCCCCTCTGTGCCCACTTTCTGAAGAATTTTTATCAAATGGATGTTGAATTTTATCAAAAGTTTTTTTCTGCATCTATTGATGTTATCATGGGGTTTTTATTCAATTTTTTTA